TTCTTATAAGCATTTTCTTGCTTTTACTCTTAATGTAACTGGGCACATGGAAAGAGCACCAAGCTCCTTTCACATTTTTCTCCTGTTGCCTATGACATAAATTTCAAAGGGTTTTTAATTCAATGTTGAGCTGAAGTGTACTGTTAACTTTAATTCCCTTTGTCCTGTCGGTCCCCTTGGGTTCCCTCTCCTGTCTATTTTTCTGTTTAATTAGGTTGAATGAATTTGCAGTTGCTCCATCCAGACTTATTTTCAGTATGTTATCTGTAAGGCTCACACTATTGACAAAACCAGATCTGAATAGCAACTGGGACCAGTCCATCATGAGTCTGTCTCTTACCTCCTCCCATCTTTCCTTTGTTTCTTTGTTTTCTATAGCTTTCTTTGCCTTCCAAAGAAAGAGTTTCACTGTTGTCTGGTCCTGCAACCATATCTAGCCATGACTCCTTTGAGATCAAATTTGGTACATAACTAGTTTAGGTCAGGGAATCATTGAAGACTATTTGGTGTTGTGTGTAGTTTAACTCAACTTCTTTCCATACAGTACTTTCCTAAAGTCTTTCAGCATCTTATCTCTTTAGCTTTCCAGCACAATGGGCTTCTAGTAGCACTGGTGTAACTCCAAAAGAGCTCAGTGGAACAGACAAACCATATGTTTTTCTGCTGGTTTTTAAAGCTACTTACATGTTATACTTGCTGTTGCTGAGTTCTCCTTCTGCTCAGAAGGGTAAATGTAAAAGTATGGTGTGGGAAGCCATAAAAAAATCCTTCTGATTTTTGAAGGGCAACTTGAACAAAGCAGAGGAAACAAGTGCTGCATTTCAGACGTGCTTGTCAAGAACCCAACACCTGTTTGAGATGAGAGGGTTGGTGAATGACCAAGGTATAAAAGTGCCTTAAGACACTTTATATACAGCTCATCTGCCTCAAGGTGATGTTGGTTATGTTCTTCCTTTATATGCTTTTCCCAAGGCACCTGCTGCTTGGCACTTTTAGACCAGGCATGATTAACTGGATGCACTCATGTCACTGCTGCTGTGCTAAATGAGATCTGTAGTGTGTAGGTTGCAGGCAAAATTGGTGTTTTTTTAAAATAAAGATCTAGGTGTAACCAGGGCAACAAGCTAGTAAAGATGGTATGCCTCAAAACTAGACCATGTGTGTGCTGAAATCTGTATGTGAATTGTGTAGTCTTCTACTTGAACAGTGCTTGCTGTCTCCATGCACTGAGGAGCACAAATGTAGCATGAGGATTGAATGAGTGAAGAGATCTGATCACTTAGATCTGTTTCACCCACAGGTTTTATGGCGGTCAACAGGTCGAATCTACTGGATGCGTTGGCAAATATTGGAGATTATTGGCTTTGGAGACTGGTGGGAAGATCCTGCTGCTCAGGAAAAGGAATATAGTCCAATAAAGAGCTTTAATCTAGACACAGGTGAGATTATGTGCTGCGTGTGTATATCATCTCTTTCTTTCTGCTGTGGGATGTTTTTGAGTGGTGATCTTTATATGGCCAAGCACATAGCAAGTAGCAGGTTGAGTTTAGAAAGCAATATTAGTTTGTATGACCATGTAGAGCTAGTTAAGTCATTACACAGCTTGTGGTTGCATGGAGTATTTTTGAACCCTAGACTTCTGTCAAGATATAATAAAAGTAATGGTATAAAAAGCATAAAATTTAATTTAAACTACAACTGTCAAAACTGTGTGTTTGAATTAATTGAACAAATTGCCAAAACACAAATAGAATTTCTCTGAGATGAAGCTGCCTTAGGGACACTCAGATCCCCTTAAATAAGTGATGAGGATTTTTAAAAGCATTAACGTAGTAACAATTTGTTTAATTTCATACCGTTAAGCTTTGGACAAGGTGAGTATTAAAGCACTGTTTTCATAAGACATCTGCAGCATCTACTACAGTCCTTTACCATTGCCCTTGTACTAGGAGAAGATAAAAGGGGAATCCAGACTTTAGATACCCCTTTCTTTTTCAGGTCTGACATGACCCTGGCCAGGGAAACCCGTTAAAGTAACTCTTTTATCATAGCTGTGATCTTCTTGGACATCTTTTCTGTAGAGTGGTTTGGATTTAACTGTTGCAAGAGAGAGAATGTAGATGAGATCAGCAGCTAATTACTCGCTTTCAAAATATTCGTATTGCCAGTTGAAAAGATGGCTTCTTTAATGGCTTCTAGCTCTTGTAAATAGACTTAACTTCATGTCAGTTCAAAGTGTAAAAACGAACTTGGTTAGACTAAGCCTTTTCTCAGTCTTTCTGATTTTGGGAGAAGCATGAGCTCTGTTTCACTTCTGTGTATACCTCTTCCCAGTCATCATATCCCACATAGAAATTGAATTGAAATGTGGGGTGTGCAGCAAAGGACAGGGGAATTGGCAGAACTGACAGTGCCCTTCCTTGCTCTGCCCTCCTGCAGTTGCACAGCCATTTTTGTGCAAGCCCTTGGGAGGTCTGTACTCCCTGCCTTACCTGGGGCAGCCGCCGACCAAGGCTGCAGAGGCCCTGAGCCGTGCCGAGTGGTGGGAGCTGCTCTTCTTTGTGAAGAAGCTGGAAGCACAGGAGCAGAAAGAGATCACCTTTCTCATCCAGCATGACCAGGGAGAGCAGGTATGGGCCAGTGCCTGCAGTGGGGAAACGGGAGGGAGAGAGTGAGGGAGAACATTAGGGAAAGGACCAGGACCAGTGGAGATGGCAAACATGAGCTATGCAGGGACAGACTGAATGGGGAAGAAATGGGACAGAAATGGGAGGGTGAGTGGGGATGGCAAAACCATGGGGAGCTTGTCCCAGCAAAGCTATGAGGGGAGATGAGAGGAAACGCAGTCTCCCATGACTGGAGGAGTGACTGTCCAGTGAGGTTTGGGTAGGTGAGGCAAGGCCATGGGGTCATTCTGCCAGTTGCAGTTGGGTGGTGAGTGCAGGTGGGAGGTCTGGGCTGGTGGCAGTTGGGTTGGG